GTCGCTGAACTTTATGCTCTGATGAAATGTTTTGGTACTTGTCAAATGCTCCGAGGTTTGTGGAAGGACATTAATGGACTCAATCCGAACCGATGCGAACAATCTCGTATAATCTCGTGTCCACTGCTTCGACCACTCACTCTCTGGAACAACAGGAAACCATTCACATGATTCAGATGCTGAGGAAGGAGGCTTGTTCAGGAGCTATTGCCGAACTTTCTCATGTTCGTACCGAACACTGCCTTTCTGACTGCCTCACGAAACCTAGCGCTAATCCTAGAAACCGCTTTACTTCTGTTCAAACAGGCTGGTTGAAAGAAATTGATTTACATCCTCCTTTTAGGTCCATGATTGAGCACAAGGCATTCATGAACAAGTGGTTTCGCAGAGAGTTCCCTCTTCTTGAGTCAGTGCAACATGTCATGNNTTTGCTGCTTCATGTGAGCTGTCAGTGCCAATTCAATGCAATACATGTTTCCTGAAGAGCTTTTGGTTTGTTTCTAAATTTGTGCCTGCATTGCTCAAATCAACTGGTTCAAAATTTGGTGAGAATGTAGCCCACACTTGCACTATTGTTTCCAGCTATGGCTGCGGCAGGGTACGCGTCCGCCGAAGGCTCTCCACAAGGAGAGGGATCGGGACAGGACTTTCAAGGACGTACCGAGATGTTCCGGAACCCCAAGATTGGCTGCCGCGTCAGGGCGGACCTTCGCACGGGACTTCCAGACTTCACTGACTACCTGATGAGCCGATCCTGGGCAGATCGCCGTGCGCTCCGAACAGTTGGAGGTGATGCTCGCTTCAAAATCGGTGCCTTCTTAGACCTCAGATTGGAGTCCTTGCAGAGCACAAGCCTTCCACCAATCGAATGGCAGCCTTCCAAGTTCTTCGCCTTTCTGATGGCGAACAGCAAGTGGCGTTTCCAGTTGTGGATCAACGCCTCCGCCTGTGCATACGACAGGTTCCTCGACTATGACTTCGACGTCTGCATCTCCGCGATACAGGGTCCAGAATGCCAGCGACGGTGGCAGAGGAGGCCAAAGGCGAGAAACTGACGCCTGCCCGGTGTCAGCAGTTGGGGTACGTCTTTCACGCCAGTGACAACTCCAACTACAACTCCATCAAGGAGAGAGGCCTATTGGTGGAGGCCACGAAGAAATCGTGGCAGAAACATCGCCTTGCCATACACTTCCTGTATGCTGGAGGAAGCGAAAGCCAAGGCCCTATGGTACGGTGATCAAGTATGGCTCGTGTACCTTTTATGCTTGCGTCGACTATACCACCTACCTGCAGCACGGGCATGAGTTATACCTTACCTCCACTGCCGTGTCGTACGAGGACATTGCTCCTATGTATTTGACATTCCACTATCGGCCACCTCACGAGGGACCCGGAGGTCTTCGCCACGAGCAGAAGCAGACAGATGCTGGGGTAGGCTCTGCACCGGGAGAGGGAACCTCAGAGAAAGCATCTGCTTCAGCGTCTGGAAGCTCTCCACAGGAGAGGTACCAGCTCGCGAAGTCCGTGCGAAGCCTGTGCATCGCCATCAAAGGGAAGCTCTCCACAGGGAGAGGTACCCATGGTTGTTCGCTGTGCTTACCAGGCAGTCCATGGCAAGGTCAATCCGTCGCAGATCCAGTTGCAAGAGGAGACGAAAGAAATCCTCAAGCGAGCAAGAACAAACCCGTGACACGGCTTGCTCCACCGGATGAACGACAAAGGAGAGAAGCTTCACAACTTCTAGCGCGACTCCTTCGTCAACTCAAAGTCACTCCGTGGGATCGACTTCCTGCGGAAACCCGGAAGCTTCTGGGCGACGATTACAACTGGGCTACGTGGTTGCAACATCCCACGTCGGGCTACCCTGTGCGTTTCTTCTTGAAAGCCTTTGAGCTCGGCAATGCCCTGGGTAATCTCTACAACGAGATGACACTCAAGCCCCGACGTTACACGCGAGGCTACGTGTCCCCATAGAAGAACGACAAGCTTCGTTTTCCTGGAGGTTTTGCAAAGCTTCTTCATGATCTTCAAGATGCCGAGACCCGGGAGTTTCGGCCACTGGTCCGAGAGATTGGCTTTCATCCGCCGCGTGACGATGACCCTCGCGATATGAGAAGCCAAAGACCGACGATCCTGACTCTGCGAATAAACTCGCCGCGTATGATGCTCTCCACTTGGAGAGGGATATATACCGTGAGATTGGCTTCGTCAGGGACTTCTCCTAGCTGCGCGGGATCATGTCCGAAGCCTGTGGCAAGGACTTCTTCGACTATCTGGAGAAGAAGGCCACTAACTATATGAGATCCGCAAGAAGTACATGGTGAAAACAGAGGAGGGCTGCAACCTCTACGATTCGTCGTTAAAGGAGCCCTTCCATGCGCCATTTATGCTTGCGGTCCTCAACTCTGCGCTTCAGAACACCAACGACAAGACCTTTAAGAGCAACTTCGCCAAGAAGGCTTTGAAGGAGTTGGAAGCGTGTGAGTCGATGAAGTCTCGTCAGGAAAAACTCTTCGGGGAGCTCTACACGCGGCCATACGAAGACATTGTGGTCGAGGAGTTTCTCGAGAACCTGCCAAGACCTGTCATCGAGGAGATTCCCGACGCTGCGGTTCCAATGGATACGTCAAAACCGTCCGGTGAACCCTCAGTTGACTTACCACGAGGTAAGATGGCTAAGAGGACACCAGCACACGAAAGGAGACCGACGCTCCAGAAAGCTCTCCACCGGGAGAGCTTGTTCCAGTGACATCCCAGCCGATGTTGTCGGAGAACATGCTGGGAGCAGATTGCTTTCTGCCACGGGAGAGATTGCCGAGATTGAGCACCAACGATGCATATTTTGTTTTGCTTGTATACACCGCGACAAGTGCATCTTCAGCAAAGCCAAAACGGAAGAGCTGAGGATTCGGCATCTTGTCCAGTGACAAGTCCCCGATCTCCTCTTCGCTCACTCCGACGGAGAGGAAGGTATGAAGCATGTAGTTCAACAGCTCCTCCCTCGTGGCTGGCTCGCGTCGGCTGTCAAGCTCCTTCACCTTCTCGATGAGCCCTGACAATCCCTGACATGACCTCAAGTGCTGAAGCACGAATATCCGAAGCCTTCTCCATCAGATGATCGTCCAGAGTAGACCGAATATCTCCCGCTCTAAAGACCACATCGTTGCGCGACGGCCGACACATATAGATCGGTCGCATCTTCACCAGGGAGTCGAAAAGCTCTGTCTCGCTGAGATGGAACTTCTCCTGCTGGTGAGGATGATGTCGTAGTCGCCATCGCATGTGCTGAACCTTATTAAAGGCTCCAACATGGTCTGTTTGCACATCATCATGGTACATGCCGTTGTAGCCGTACCCGTTCACCTGATCATCTAACCGCATGAGCGGGCTTGATCGTTCGACGATGTGATGTGTTTGCCAGAAGGCAATAAACTCGGAAGTTTCGAGGAGAGGTTGCTTCTCCTTCTCAGTCTCCAGGTTGTCTCGTTCTCTGTCTCCGCGGAGGAGGCAGTCCTGGTGGCTTCGGCGAACTTCTCCGGATCCAGACGGTCTTGACTTTCCACCAGATGCCTTGATCATGTAGCTCTTCATCTTGATCCTCTTTGACATCCTTGTCGGGAGAAATGCCAGGCCCCGGTGGTGAGCTTTCTTGTGCCTGTTCGTCGCTGGGTCCGACCTTGTTCATATATGATCGTCGAGATCAAGCACGGCGACACCTTGCCAGCGAATCAAGGTGGCGATCGGCAAGATTTTCCCGACGCCGCCTTGACAGCTCCTTTGACGAGAGCCGGCTGTAACTCTATCCGGGTCTGCGTCTTTCATCTGGGTAGCGGGATCGCTGGTGACAAGGTCGGCCTCGCCCACGAAGCAATGGCAACGATGTTTACGGACTGCCTGACATTTCAGGTGGATCTCATCGCTGGGGACGCTGATATGGCTACCTACCGTGCATCGGGTCGGAAGCAGAGCTCAGCAGACATCAAGGGTGGCATGTATCAAAGTCTTCTGGATTATTTCCTCGAAGCACGGTCACGCTGCTCTAAGGTTATGCCTCAATGCTGTCCGAAGCACCAAACTATGACGGCAAACCAAGCAGTATGAGGACCAGTTCGGCAGGCCTTACAAGGAATGTTCACAGCCGGACTGGGATACGTTCCCGACGTTGGACCCGGTCAGCGCCTCTGTTCTCGAATGGGGACACTCAAAGGACGATGACCAATGGAGCAATTGGACTTCTGGACCATCGCCTATTCCGCGAGAGTTCAAGATCCACATTTCTGGATGGGTCCTTAATTCGTCATCAGCCGCCTACATGCTCCGGACACCTGAGCCAATATTCGGGAAGTCGAGCTAAGGCCTTGAATCGGAATCCTGATTCGGTCAAAGATGCGTCAGTTCGGAGGAAGAAGAGACAGAAGCTTAGGAAGGCAGCTGGGTCATCTACAGACCCCGCTATGGGGACAAGCTCACCACAGGGTGAGGCAGCCTCCGGTACTTCTAACACCGGCTCCTAAAGGTTCTCAACGACCTCCAAACCCAGCACATTCTCCGAAACTGACCAGGTCACGACTACAAGTGGGAGTCGGATGTCTAATATCTCAACTATGTATTGTCAGAGACATATAGAGATACTTTTCGCAGGAAAAGATACTCTAGTCGCCGAGCCGCAAATGCCACTGCTGGCAACAAGTGGAGCTCAGCTCTGCTTGTTTCATCCAGTATGCTTTCCAAGGAGGGGTAGCTCATCGCGTGGGCCAACCTATGCAAAACTTGTGTTCTGTTCCGTTTGTTTTTCAGGATGCTGTCTCCGGGAACTTTAATTTGTACAGGCAAAGTAGTTTGTAGAGTTTGTAAGGTCTTCACAGTCGTAGCTCAATGTCACCCCGCTCATAATTCATTCTTGCGCAATAGCAGGCTAGTAGAATGCCGACTCCACGGCCATGCAGTTCTACGTGTTTTTAAAATTTGTGCCTGGTTGAAACACTAGATGCTACACATCCAGGTGCCTGTCTGTTTCACGTANNCACTTGCATGTATCCATGCCTGTTGCTCAACTTCTAGCAGAGTACTGATCTACAGCTGTGCGCCTGTAGGACAAGCAACACCTGTGTTTGCCTGTGTTCCTGTACACCTTGCGAGGGGATACCCGCCCGGGTTACATCTCAGGGGATGGGGGTGGGTGTGGGTGTGGGTGTGTATTTGGTGACGACCTGTTGAGTCATACTGTCAGAAGCAGGCGGGCATCCGTGTCACCTGAGTTGGATGCCCAACGAAGAGGGCTCAGGATGATAGCTGATACGTCCAAGTGCGTACCTGCCATTGTCTGCATTTCTGAATGACCACCAGGCAAAGCCGAAAACCTGGCAAGTCGAGGGTTTGAGTTGCCACTGTCAGGATACTCAGGATCCCAAGGTAATTTCATCCTCATCCCCCTCAAGATCTTCTCCAGATATGGATGACATCGACCTATAAAATCCGTGTGTGTGTGTGTGTGTGTGTATGCGCGCGGGCGGGCGTGCACGCAGTCGTGTGCAGGCCGTGTCGGAATCCGGAATCCAGTTCGCAAGACCATGAGCGACTCAGTTTGGAATTCCAAGGGCGGCTGCAGCACACGTGCGGCAATGACTCAATGACTCAGCGGCAGGGCTGTAGAATGTAGGGTGTTTTTTTGTAGCCGGCACGATGTTTCGTCTTAGAAAACAGGTTCAATCCAAGTTCATGCTGAACCGAGTGAGCCCTGTCGTGCACTCGTGTCGGCAGATCTCGACCTACATCCGAGTCGGAACTGGGACATGCAAGATATGAAAGCTGGCTGTAATAGTCCACGGTCTAGGGCGGATTCTGCAGGATTAACGACGCGCTCAAAGGCACAGACGGCAGAAGTCTCTATGCGCTGCAGCTAGCATAGGACATGTGTAGCCTTACGTAGCAAAGCATCCCATCCTGTTTCGGCGAGTCCAACTTCGCATGCTGCCGCACGTCATCAAGCAGCGGAAGTCTAGGCGATGGTTGCGATGTGTAAGCATGTTATCATTATGTCAAAACTTTTGGAGCACCTGTGGCAGTTTGGGGGACTCAGCAGCCACAAGTTCAGACCTATTTGGACTAGAACCGTGAGCCAGAGGGCGATGGCAGCTGCAGCCACGACACGCCCAGCGAAGCCAAGGTTCAACAACAATCTTAAAGTCAAAACTGGGTGCACCGACTCGTTGCAGTGAAGAGCTTCGGAGTCACTGCATCGAACAGTGAAATACAGTTTTCCAGTTTGCCGCACATGGTGAGCGACCTGTGTTCACAGGAGAGTGGCATCAGAGTGGAAGGATATTCTTGGTGCTGTACCCAAACAGCTGATGTGATCAGGCGCAAGCTGGACACGGCTCAAAGAGAAGGCATTGAACAATTGCTGGTGGCTGAGCAGCAGCTCAGCACACGAGTGACATCAAGCCTGTAGCTTGCACCCCTGTGCGTCACATGTTTGCTTTGCACACTGATATTCTACAGTGGGCACTGCCTTGATCTCAGGAGCAAGACAAGCGCCATTTACTCAAAGTCCGAGACTTGCAAAGCAAGTCACAAGCACTACTGAAGCCCGAGGACATTCAGGCAAAGAGTTGGAGAAACTGGTGCTTACAGCTGCAATATTCGATGTTCTTTCGTACTGTATGGCGCTTGTGAAGAGAGTAGCTTGCCAGGTAGTTCTCTACGATGTGTACTCTGTCGACAGCTTCGCTGCATGCTGTGTTGCTCGCAAATTCTTGGGACTCGGTGTGCACTATGAAGGAGAACTGCTGAGCTTGTGAAGACATCTCCATGGGAACCAAGAAGACATGCATGCAGCTGACTTTATTTGTTTTAGCAATCTCAGCCAACAGCCGTGAATTCCACGCTAGCGTCAGAAAGGTGAAGAGTCTGGAGCCGAGATACCCATCAATCGTGCCCTGCAAAAGCAGAAGCTTCACCCAGCCTGTGAGTTGATGCCAACGTTTGGTGCGGCACCTCGTGGGAGTTTGGTTGGGGAAAGGCCTTGCAGGGCCAATTCAACAAACGTCCAAAGCTCGACTAGCAGACATCACCTGTTTCGCAGACTTCGGCGGCGGGGACGACAACAGTAACACATTACAGTACCGCTACCACGGCAACGACGACGACTGCAACAACAGTAGCAGTTCTTGCTTCAAGGTAGCTGAGACCCACGACGAGCGGAGTTAATGTGTTGGTGTCTCCCGCTTAGCCGATTCATGTCCACGTTCTTTGCAACTGCTGGAAACACAGTTCTTCTTGGATACCCAGCGATGCCATCGATTCCGTGCCATAATAGTAGCAGGTATGACCATAAAACGACATCAGATGCACCAAGTGCATTGCTTGCGCCATTGATGTACATTCCTTTGAACCAAGTCTTCAGCGCTGGGAGCAATCAACAGATAGTACGAGTACTGCGCAGATGGTACATTGAGTGCCCTACTACCTTGAAGACTTAAAGACAGTACGTAGACAACTGGTTCGCGTATGTCGAGCAGTGGCAGCTCCCTGCCTCGACGAAGTACTTCCCCAAGCTTCTCACCACCTGGCTCACTATTGCTTCGTATTGCTACTGGACTCCGTGCGCTGCACCATTTTTGAGTCCACTGTGAAAGCCACCAGAAGAGTGTTGT